GTATTTTTCTACAACAGGAGAATCAGTTAAATGTCAGGTGGTCATGTGATTTAATGGCAACTTGAAAGTGTTCCCCTTTTTAATGCTATTTATAGCGTCCAGCTGTTCATTAATTTCTTACAGAGCATGTCAGTCTGATATGTGGTAAAGCTGAACACAAATCCCCACACAACAGATATTTCATGTACTCATTATAACAATTCTTGGGGCTCCTATATTCCCGAAAAGAAAGATCTTCTGCAGCATTTGCACATTAACTTACAATAATATGAACTCAGTATGCAATTGCTGTATCTCTGTACTGAGTCATTGTGGATCAACATTAGCTCTTATTTGTGAACCTAATATAAGAACTGACTATTCTCCACAGCAACCAATTAGGTTTAATCCCACTGGGGACAATGCAGACAGATCTTATGTGAGACACCAAATACATTTTTGGGGTGACTATTTACAGATTGGATAATATGCTCAGTGCACCATTCTATAATAATAGTTTCAGCAATGAGAACTGACAATTGCAATTGCTATATTAAATAGCACATGCTTAGTGAATTGAACTCTAATTTGAAGAAACTCTGTGAGGGCTTCTGCAGCAGCAATATATCTGATGATGATTTTTATTATAAACAATATATAGTATATCTGAATGGTTGCTTTAGATTGCTGCACATTGAGTTTTACAGTGTCTTGTAAAGCTTGATATTGTTTGTTTACTACTGTTATGCAAAGTTGATGATTTTATACTGTTCTAGGTAGTCTTAAAAGAAACAACAAAGAAAGTCAACCTTGTTGGGGTAAGTTTCATTTAAACCCAGCTGCCCTCTGGACTGTACATTTGCTTTCCACAAACATTTTGGAGGGATGTCTGTGGGGATTTGTACCCGTTCATGCAAAACTACATTTGTGAGGTCAGGTACTGATGATGAACATGAGGACCTGGCACATAATCAGCTTTCCAATTCATAACAAAGGTGTTCACTAGGGTTGAAGTCAAGTAGACTCTATGTAGGCCCCTGCACTTCCTCCACACCAAATAC